CAGCTTCCCCAAGATGTGTTCTATTTAGGTTTAAGATATGTAGGCTTACAAGAACGAAAATTAAACTGTGTAAAAGAGCGGTACTGTCACTGATTAAAGCGCAGGCAGAATGTGCAGAGTTGGATATATCCTTGCCAACCCTCAGCAACTTGGAAGAACTGCAAAGTCTCTTAAATTCAGTATCTGATTAAGGTCTGGGATAGTCCAAACTGATGCCGTGATATCTACTGGGCGAGACGAATTGATGGGAATGTTTGGCAGCACCAAAGCTAGCAGACAGCCCAGGGTTTGGCCTGTTCTCTGTCTCTCCATCCCGTATGGTCACAGCAGCAATATTAAACCCTTTTAGCCTCCACAACTGGGGTGCTACCTGTTAGGAGTGGCTTCAGGGCTGTGCTCATTCCCAAGCCATGGCTGGGACCTGCTGGCAGCACACTGGCCAAGCCCCAAAGCAGCCCCAGCCTTGTCCCTGTTTTATTTCTTGGTATGGAGATTCCCTTACAGCTGGTTCAGCTCAGAGCACTGGGTCTGTGGACTTTTTCAGGCTCAGACCAGGGTGTCCCTCATTTATCTCATTTATTATTATATACCTCACATCTTTATTCAATGGCACAGTAAGTGCAAAGATAGCAGAGTTCACCCTGCTCACTGCAGGGACTCCAGTGTTTGGGGAGGGCATGGGGACACCAAGCCAGCATCCCTGGCTTGTGCCATTTGCAGCAACGTGTCCCATATATACAAATATCCGTGAGGAGGACCAGCCTGTGTCTGGAAAAGGCAGGTCTGGTGATTTGTACTGCTATTTAGCATCACCTCTACTTTTCTTTCTTTTGCCAGATAGGCATTTGCCAACCACTGTTGCATAGAATAGGCTCTTTCACAGCCAGTATTAATGTTACTGGGCAAGTCTTCCATGCAGCTTTTGCATTTGACCCTTCAACTGTCTTTCAAAGGTGAAGCACAAAGCAAAGCATTTAGGCAGAAGTGCAGGCAGATCCAGGAACTGTGTAGAAGTCTCCCTGTCTTCCTTCTCAAGAATATTTTCAACACAAAGATTTAAACTCAAGCCCCAAGAGTGGATAGAGTGGATAGAGGTACGGGTGAGGCAGATCCTGGCTGGCTTAAACCAGGTCTGAAGTGTAATGAGGCTGCGATATGAGCATGTTTATTGAACCATTTAATCACCTCTTTGGGATCTGCCCCACCAAATACAGACTATCTGATTAGACATGCCTGTACCTGAACTGTTCAAGCATACGCGTTGTAGAACCCATGGACAGAAGCAGGCTCACCAAAGCACTGCCAGGGATCACAGCACATCCACAGGCTGGTCAACTTAACTGAGTCCTCCAAATGCTGTTTTGTCCCCACTGATTTGGAAGTCAGTTCCAGGTGACTCTCTCAGGTACAAATGACTACCCTGTGGACATCTAAATCCAGAGGAAAACCAGGCCTCCTGCTACTTTGGAGCAACCTTTTTTGACTCCAAGAACAACCCAGCCCGGGCTCCTTGCTCTGAACGTTGTATGTGCCAAGGACTTGTTGGATCAGACCTGAAGCTTTACGTAAAATGACTCTGATGTGTATTTATATGAATCATATATATTAATTACATAATAGACACTTACGTTCTCCATCCCACATGCAGTTTGGTTACAAAGACTGAGTGCCTTCACTATGAATCATGCAATCAGACCATATCCCTCAGGCAAAACTCTCTCTAGAATGGCCATGTTCATATATTCCCATGGTTTCCACTACAATATTACTTAATTAAGAATATTAATCTGCTGGGCCACCAACTTTCACTGCCTTTCAGGGAAGTCGAAGCAGACAGGTAGTTTAATAAAATATAGGGAAACATGCTCTCGTTATGATTGAGTCGGTGCAATCGGGTAAGTCAATTGTATGGCCTCCTGAGCTTATTTTTTCATTTATTCTTGATATGAACACAGACATATGTACCAGAGAGACCATTAGTCCACAAGCTGCACGTTTTTTGCAGCCAGTCTTTGGGTGGGCTGTTTTTTACTTTTCAGCTATTGCTGTTGCGTATTACGAGCAAACTATCACTGATTAATCGTTGGACACTGCAGATGAAGTACCAGTCCCCATTTGGAGAACAAAAGATGAATATTTGAAGTCTGACACCTACATTGTCATGGGTGCTCATCTGCACGTGTCTGCAGCGTGCAGGCAGACATTTCAGCTCTGCAAAGCAATCAAGTATGCGTCTAGACACTGGCACGACCAGTTCAGCCACATTACACCAGCCTGTCTGAGTAACTCAAGGAATCAGCTTGCTGCCCTTTTCCCCTCTTCCATGAGATGGAGAAATGCTTGTGCTGCTCTGACAATCCCTCACCCCACCCTTTCCTACAGCTCCCCAGCTCTTCTGATGCTCAGCCTGAACTCTGGTCCAAGCACTGGCGTCCTCGGCACCAAGAGCTGTACTGCTCCACGATGGGGAGGAGTGTGAGCATTTTGGTCAGGAACTGGATGCATTTCCAGCCTTAGGAGTATCATCAAAAACAGCTCCTGTGGGCTGCCGCTGACCATGCCGTCACTGCATTGAAAGATACCTTTGCTTTTTAAATGGTGAGCTTTCAACACGTGAGTGAGAGCAGCCCAAGCAGAGGTCTAGTCAAAGCCACAGAGGTTTGTAGAAAGGCTGAGTGATGTGAAGCTGTGGCAGGTAGTCAGCCTCGTGCCTATAAGGTGCGACATTTGAAGCCTGAGGGGGAAGTTTCACCCATTTTTCCTCCTGCATGATGTTAAGAACCAGGCAGTAAATATGGCATTCATTAAAATTACCTTGTATATTTTTAACAGCCCTGATAATCAGGTTTCTGCCACCATATTGGGAAGCAGAGTTTGTTTTTATTCAAGGCCTTGTAAAATGCTAATTTCTCCCTTATGCGCTGGAGATGCCTGACATTTTCTAATATTTTTAAGAGTTTCTTAGTCGTCATTTTTCCTCTTCAAAGCTCAGCTCTTTCTGAAAGATGTGTCAAGTAACTGAGCGGCGGTTTGTTCCTCTCAGAGTGCAAAAGATAAATCCGCTGCTGTAATAGAAAGCTTTAAATCTGCATTTTCTCTCTGCTTTAAACACAAAAGGGGCCAGATTCTGCCTTCCTGTGTGAAGCAGAAATTCTGGAGTAGCATTCCCAGTAGGGGCTGCAACATATTTCCTTACTGTTTGGGAGTCAGCTCTCCTCCACCCAGCAATGTCGCTCTGTGATTCTGAACATCAGTAAACACTGCAGACAACCTCTAGCACTTACATGGAAGATGAAAGCCCACCTTTCTCAACTCTAAATCTACCCGGCAGCAAGATCCCTGTGCTGGGACAGGGTGGGAGCACTGCCTAGATGCTGGTTGAGCCCTCAGAAGACAAAGAGCAAGAAGAGCGATGGCAACCAACCGCGGAGCGCAAGGGAAAAGTTCAGCACACGGCCACATAATGTACACAGGCAGGCCTTCAGTCATCCTGCTTGCGCCCACATGCCAGGCGCTCACGTCTGAATGCACCCAGACAAGCAAGGGCTGCAGGGCAGGTGCGCGGTGCAGCCGCTGTGCTCCCAGCCGAGCCTCTCCCGGAGGTGTTGCTGAGGGCACAATTGCAAAAATAACCAATTCAACAACACAGACCATCAGGAGACTCCAAAGGGAACCTGTTTCGGGCCAAACAAAGCATTTTCTCAGCATCAAGCCAATCTAGTTTTTTGCACCAAGTCAGCGCATTGCACAGGGAGCCCACGGGAACCTGCTCCACTACCTTGCACCCCTCGGCCCACACGGAGGCGGTTGGCATCTCTGAAGATGCAGAGCACGCAAGGGACCGCAGAGGGCTTTGCAGCTGTTTGTTTGAGAAACAAAGCTTCCCTCTTCTGAGATGAAAGAAATCGAGGAGTCAAAGCTAATCAAATCCTTCACGCCTGCTGGCTGGAGTTCAGCTCGTCAGGGATGCAGTGCAGTGCAGTGCTCAGCATTACCAGTGCTACGAGCGTGGTGGATGGGGAAACACGACAGCAAGAAATTCACCTGGCTGCAAGTCAAACAGGTGTATGGCAGCAGCATCCAAGACTGTAATAGTATCTTGCAAACATGCAAAAAAGTAGTAATGTCATAAGGCTGATTCTTTAGTTTTCATTAATGAATCATAAAGACTTCACGTTACACGTGCTTTTTGGCATATGCTGCTCGTATTTCCACACTTGCAAGGTTGGAGCTTTTATGCTGAGCCACCCTCGCCTAAGGTTCCTCATTCTTGGCAAGATACACATGGTGACTGTGTGCCATTACAGGCTCTATCTTATTTTGGGGCAATCAGATTACTCCACGCAGATGGTTTTATCGCTGAGACCATACAGGTGAATTGCACAGTATGTAAATGTACATTTGTTTGATAAAAAAAAGTCTCAGTTCTTAGCTGCTGTCTTGTTTGTGTTCCTAAACAAGTTTCTTCTCTCCTGCATCCTTCCAAAGCACAATTTGTCCAATCTTTACCCTAAACTGACTCAGCTAGTTTCTGATAAGCATCTGAAGTACTCATTAACTGAGGAAGAAACAGGCTTTCTTGTGCTTCTGGATTAAAATGAGGGAGCATGAACCTTCACCCTCACTAATGAAGAAATAAAAGGCATCTATCTAACATCACACACAATGCAAAATGAAAAGACCAAAATATAAAGAATATCACAGTGATGTTAAAACATGTAAGCAAACATCCTCCTGGGGGGGCAGGGAGCGGAAGAGAGAGAATTTGATCACAGAACCAGCTTCACAGTAAAAAAAAATATTCTGATCTGAAATGGACCTAGTGACATTGAAACCGTTCATGCTCTGCCCACAGCAGCTCTTTCTGACCCCCACCCACCATGCAGAAGCTCTGTTATCACCGAGCAAGCTTTGCTGTTCTTAATAGGGTTTGTCTGCAGCCATTCAGGCGGCCTCTGTACCTGTCAGCGTAATTGTTTTAGGAGAAACATGGACACTACCTGAGAGGCGTCGGGGCACGTCGGTGATGGCTGGAAGTCCTGTGCCTCGGGTGGAGGACAGGGGAGTTGTGGAGTGAATGGACGGCGAAGTCATCTGGCTCAAGTAGGACGGGTACGACTGATCATAGGACCACGGCGGGGACGACTGCGCCTGCCTGGGGTCTGGAAAAAAGAGAAAGAAATCAAAAGGTAAGGAAGAGAAATTGTAAGGCACCGACAGTCTAACTGAAAGAGATGGGGCTACTGAACATACACACATCAGTGTCACAAGGAAGGACAACACAACGAAGCACAACTTGCTCCTCCAGACTCAATGTGTTTAAGCCTTGCTCTGTAAGTTTCCCTCCTGTAACAATCACAGAATCATCACAGAACGGCCTGGGTTGCAAAGGCCCACAGCGCTCCTCCAGCTCCAACCCCTGCTGTGTGCAGGTCGCCAACCAGCAGCCCAGGCTGCCCAGAGCCACATCCAGCCTGGCCTTGAATGCCTGCAGGGATGGGGCATCCACAGCCTCCTTGGGCAACCTGTGCCAGTGCCTCACCACCTTCCGGGGGAAAAACTTCCTTCTAAATATTTGGGGGAAATGAATGGGGCAGAGAGCAGAGCTGAAGATTCAGCAGCTGTTCTGTAAACTCCTGATGTCTCTCACACAGCTCTGACAGTGTTATACTGGGACTCGCCAGTCCTTGAGGATGTGGACAAAAAAGATAACAGTAAATAAGAGACATGGGGGCATGCTGCGGCTGAGCTTGGGAAGTGCATGTAAAAGGCAAGGAGACTCTACAGTCAGCACTTGGCATGCCTGTCAAGTTGTTATCCAGTTCAAACATGACAAAAAAGTGGTTTTAGTGCTGAAAATGCTCTCCAAGAAGGAAAACGTCATTAATCTTATTAGCATCTGTCTAAAAATGTCACATTTGGAGGCTGGCCCAGTTACCTACCGTCACCTCAATTAGAACAACATGAAGCCAGATGGATTGGTATAACTAGCAGAAGCTAATGATGCATTCACGTGTACTCATTAGAGCTCACAATGAAGGAAATTATTTTAAGGATAAATACCGTTTATTTTTTGCTGAAGGTCTGGTGGGCTGCACCGAGTGAGGAAGAGGAAGGGCTACTTTTACTCAGCTGTGCTGCGATTCAGAAACCATTTGTTTTCACTTAGTACGTGGTGATAAAGACACAAACAAAATCTTCAACAGTCAATTATTATTTTTGTTTCTTTATGCTGATAAAAACCAAGCACTTTCAACTCCCAACGTTTTTCTGGGCACTGCCAGATAAACTGGTAACTGTCTCCAAATTGGTCCACAGAAACCATCCAAATTCTCCCCGGTACCTTCAGTGAAGCATACCAGGTCCACTCAGTTCAGAGAACCTGCTTCATCAGAGCACTGTCCTACAGCACTGCTTTGCAGACAGGAACGTGACAGCCACATGGCATAAGCAAAGGCACTTTTTCAGGAAATTCAACCTTTTTTTTCCTCTTTTTTTAACTCCTTTCCCTACTCTTCCACACAGCAAAAGCTTGTAGTTTTAGCTATGCCCTGTTTATTTTTTCTTTCAGACATGATTTGTTTGAAGAGATGTCTGGAAAGCAGATACTTCCTTGAAGCAAAATAACTATATAGATTGAAAAAAAAAAAAAAAAAAAAGTTCCAATTTAATTTTAAGAGGATTTTCCCCGAGTTTGCCATTTATATTAGAGCTGAGTAATATAAATGGTTAATATAAACTCCTCAGAAATCCGAAGGACACTTGATCATTAAATGTAATGAACTTCTTTGTTTTAACAATTTCAGGGCTAGAGTTGTATAGATTGGCGCAGGTTCAAATTTGACTGACTGCTCGTTGTTATATCTGATATCGACATATTTCTCTGCCTCATTCCACTACTATAATTCACCATTCAGTCAATGGTAAATGATCTTCAACTGGGAACGGAAAGCCTGCGCTTGCTGGGAAAACAATCTTAAAATTAATGATGTGTCAGGAGCACAATCTCAAACCTACGCTCCTTCAAACTCCAAGAGCTTTTCAACCCGTGTTTCTGAATCCGAAACAGGGTCCCTTAAAGTTGTGCTTTCAAGTCAGCCCCACCACTGGAAGGAAACTGTAGAGCAGGTAAAGATGGAGAAAAATCACAGCAGAGGATGTTTTTGCAGACATTTGGTTTAAGATGGTGAAAACCTCAGGAAAGGAGCTGCCATGTGGAGGCTTATGCTACTGCTTTGGTGTAGCCATCATGGCATGAAGAGATTCTGATGACTCTTTTATCCTCCCACTCTGAACACTCACACTAGGTTTGGCTTAATTCAACAAGTGCAAATGCCTCTGTGAACACAGGAAGGATCAGGGACATGCCCAGGGACATGATTTAGAAGAGGGTTGTTAGTTAGGATAGTATGGTTAGGTTGTGGTTGGACTCGATGATCTTAAGGTCTTTTCCAACCTGAGTGATTCCATGGTTCTGTGACTCTAACAGCAAAAAATGAATGGGCTCACACAGCCTTTAAAATAGTATTTCTTGTGACAATGTCAGAGGCAGAATATGGGGCTGGATGGACCATCTGCTGATGCCAGAGCATTTCAGATGCTCTCAAGACATTTAGCTTAATTTTTACACTTCCCCTATAGCTCCTCCCATCTACAGCACCACATCACCAGATTTGTGTTCTAACTTGTACTTGATTTTAACTCTTCATGAGCTCCAAACTGTGAGATGTTAAATTGCAAAGTGTTTTAGAGAAACAGGACAGGCTGTTAGGGAAGACACTGTGCTGTGACATAACTGCTTCTGGCCCTTTCACAGATCTTTTGTTGAACTTTCTACCTAAATTTAAGGAAAAGAATGGTAATTTGTTCCCTGAGTATTTCATTCACAAAATGGGGTGCTTCTCTTGGCTAGAAGCTTTCAACCCAGATGTTCAAGTGTGAACTTGGGCCTCTCTCAAGCCAGACTGTAGGAAACTCAGCTCCAGGGAAATTATATCGCTTTTTCTCACAGAATGGGAAATAATTTGGAGGAAAATCCTCAACCAAATTGAACAGAAGATGCATCAGAGCTCAGTGACTGAGGAAAGGCTGCAGCAGGCCAGGCTGGAGGTCAGTGTGATTTCTCCACACTGAGGCAGGGCCAAGGTCATGGCTGAGGCCAGGTGGGGAATTTGTCCTGGGGCTTCAAGCATTATCTTTGGCCTGTTGGGAAAGCGGAAACCGAAGATACCAGTTTTACCAGATCCTGAGTAAATGCCCTAAAACCAGCCTCTGTCTGGACATGTGAGGAGCAGAATTCAAACGAGGTCTGCTCGCCCAAAGGGTCACGGTCATTGCTCAGTGCAATTGCCAAGTGCCTGCAGTAAAATGCAGCGCAGCCAACAGCCACCCCACGGAGCCAAAAAGCAGCCCATGTAGTCCTCAGAGAAGACAGGGAGCTGTGGGCCACACACAGCAGCGCTCAGCCTGCTGCGAGGACGTTCCCTGCAATGCTGCTGTGCGGAGGCCTTGGCCACAGAGGCCCCACCTCTCTTCTGGCTTCCCGTACCACAGAATCAAGCCTTGCGAAGGCAGGACGTTGCCAGGTCTATTGCTTAGAGGTGCCTGCTTCCACAACTTCCCCTTACGATGCAAATCCAAGTGGGTGCCAGAAGGGAATGCAGCAGTGTGCTCAGCAGGGTCACCTCCGCCGTGCTGAAGGGGTGGCATGGCCACTGAGCACACCAGTGGGGCAGACAGTGCAAGGAGATTTGCAAGAAGTTTTCCATGCCTCCGTACAGATGAGGCCATCCCTTCTGTTTGCAGAGAGTGGAGGGCCACGCTCACTTGCCAGGCTGGCAGGCACCCACTGTGAGTGAGAGCCAGAGGCTCTGGGCTGTCACATGAAGCGCTGCATGCGCTGGCAGCCAAAGCATATCTTTCTAATTGCTGAAAGCCCCGAATATATGAGAAACCCCAGAGCTCTGAGGCAGAGCTAACATGAATTCCTGCCTGAAGGAATCCCTAGAAAACAAGGGAAAATGTGAATACAGAAGTACACTGAACGGCTCAGGAGGAAGCCCACCCAACTCCCAGCACCAGAGGCCTGCAACCGGGCTGGCCCAGCCTTAAACAGCAGCAACAGAGGCAGAGGACCGCTCTGAATTTGACTTTGCACTTGAAAATTTTGGAGTGATTCCTAAGAACCGTCCTCCTTTTGTAAACATTTTTGTTAAATCTGTGTGGGTGTGAAGCAAAGTGCGGCTTGTGCAATACTCATGAAGGACAGGGCTTTTTCATGCATATGCAAAGTCACGCTGGGTGCAGATGAGCGGAAATGAGTCGGTGGGTGAGGACCAACTAACCCAGCCCCTTCCTGATGGCACTGCCAGGTGTGCCTCAGCGAGGCAGGAAAACCTGGGCTTGCACATGCTTTTGTCTCTCAGTTTCACTGCCACACAGATAGCCAGTGGAAGACTTGATCAGCTCCTGATCCACGTAGACAAGGTGACTGCATCAGCTTAGTGGAAAATAAGAGCTTTGAAAAATCTGCCTCATCACAGAATCACAGAATGGCCTGGGTTGGAAGGGACCTCGAGGATCACGAAGCTCCAACCCCCCTGCAACAGGCTGGGCCACCAACCTCCCCATTTCATAGCAGACCAAGCCTAAATTTGGATGCATAAAACTAAGCCCGGAAATAGAGCAACTCCTCATGGCCCATTTCTACCACTGATCATCCAGCAATGTCAGCTCTCTTCTTTCAATGGAAAAGTGTCAAAAGAGAGAAGAGAAAGCTGGAAGGTTGTCCTGCAGAAGTAGCTATCTGTTCCTTTGGCGCTGGATTATATCATATCATATAATAGAATCACAGAATCACAGAATGGCCTGGGTTGAAAAGGACCACAGCGATCACCTAGTTTCAACCCCCTGCTATGTGCAGGGTTGCCAGCTACTGGACCAGGCTGCCCAGAGCATACATTATGAAGCATACAGATTTACTATAGACAAAGATCAAATTTCCATTTCCCAAGCTGAGCTCTGGTGCTCAGAGCATGACCATAGGCTCACAGCCCCTCAGCATACAGCCTATAAAACCTAAACGTCACATGTGTACGCGCACTTTCCAAAAACACTTATTTAAATCCAGTCGTTGGTTCCAGTCTTGGCTGCTGCCCATTCCATTAGTGCTACTGCTGATACCAAAAAACAGGCTGTCTGGAGCTATCTGTGGTAAACACCCAAAGCAAATATCTTTGGTTATGATCTTAACAAAGCCAAGATGACTTTCTGCATGAGTAAACACGCTATTGTTGTAAACCCAACCCCAGCAAAACAACAACAACAAAATGCAACCTCCTCCTATCCTCTGACTATTTCATGGGAACATCTGAAAGCCCAGGGCTTGATCTGGATTGCCCAGTTCAATCAATGAACTCAGTGGAGTTACACCCCTACGGACACCACTGTAATTGAGACCAGATTTTGGCCTTAAGAACCTCTACAACCATTTTTCCTCTCAGTCCCTCAGTGTCACAATTCTAAAGGGAAAAAAAAAAAAAAAGAACTAAGCTGAACAAGTCTTGCCAGTAGGACAACTAAACAGCAAAGGAAAAAAAGAAAAGTTAAAAGAATACTTTAATAGGAGGGACACAGACTTCACCCGATGGAGGTTCATAGTGGCAGCTCGCCAGTTGCCCCAAGGATGCAATCAATTTGCATAAAGCACAGCAGACTGCAGCCACCCTAGGGTTTGTAACAAGGAATCCCAGCTCCTCCATCTCGTATGCTGACTTGTAGCTTTTATCCCATGAACTGAAGGCACAATGCACCCTGTATACCTACAGGACGGGCTATTTCTAATTGGTGTTCTCCAAGCAATCACGTACCGTGCCTGCTGCGTTCAGCAGGCTGATGTGCACGGCTGCAGACTGGTGCATGCTGCAGCACGCTGCTGTCCCAGGTCTAACACAGGCAACTCAGGGGAGAGCTCACACACTGCCCAGCTACAACAAACAGCTACCCGGTTTGTACCATGGCTGGTGGTTTCAGATAGCAGACACTGGGCTGCTGCTTTCGGTCTTTGAGACAAGTGCTTCACAGCCCCACATTCACACCCCACAACCGCGCTGTACGAGAGGAGGATTGTGCCATCTCCCTGACTCTGCAAGAGGGCAGTGCCCAGCCCCACCAGCCCAGAACCGGGGGAATGGAGGACAGGTACCACGCGAGGAGATGAAGCTGCTTTCTGCCCACAGCCTTCCCACCAGCCTCAGTTCTTAGTGCTCTACCTGATAGTGGCGATGCATCCTCCCACTAACTTTCACCTCCAAATTCCTTAAATCTGCTTTCTACAACTTTAAGATCAGTGAAAAACAGCTAGGGCTGAAAATGCAGCATCACCGAAGTGTGGGGGAAAGGGGGGGAAGCAGAAAAAGAAAAAAAAAAACGGAAAAAATCACAGGACCTGCTTTTTGAGCACTGCTCTTTCAGTGCTGCAAGTCACAGGTTGCCCATTGATCAGATGGAGCCACCAAGGTGATGGAGCAGGAAACCTCACGGAAGCCCCACTCACAGCCCCCGTCAGATCTGCTCTGACAGAAGCTCATCCACACTGGTTGTAGTTTAGAAAAAGAACAGTTTTGCTCATTTCATACCGAAGCAGTGCTGCAATGAGCCAGGCTCTGAGCAGGACTGTAACTCGACCCGCCTGCAAGTTGTTCCAGTGCCGTTAAGGGAGAGGGGAAAGCAAAAAAAAAAGCAAATATACCAATATCCAAATGTGAGCAGACAGCATCCCTGATTTACGGGCAGCAAGCGGGGTTCAAATTGAATCTGCACTGCCTCAGCAAAGGCATCTGCTTATTGGGCGATTTGTTTTTTAATGACCCTTCACTGTTGCTTTTGCAGGCTCCTAGTTAAAATGCCATGTTGAATAACAGCAACTCTGTGCCTCGTGCTGCTGCAGGCCGGTGTTGCGGTGGGTTTGGGACTGCGCTGCGATTTGTAGAAGCTGTACTCTGATACTCGAGGCAAATAAACACGACCCAGACAGAGAGAAGAAATGTAAGAGTGAACCCCAAAGTGTTTCTCCGTGCTCAGGTGTGGGCCAGTCAGGCTTTAAATATTATTTGTGTTTAATCATGCAATAGCTATGCAAGACCTCAAGTGGAACTACACAAAACCAGTTTATGTGCTTACTAGGCATAATACGGATTTTGTCATAGGAATGCAGTATTTACTGTTAAATTTATAAGGAATTAATTATTTCCCCTAAATTACTAGGTAAGAGATTAAGAAACAAAGGTATACCTAAAAGGAATGCTTGCTTAATTCCAAGAAAGGCAATAAAAACATCCTTGGGTTCAGACGAGCATCTGTACTCCTTTCAACACATCCCCAGACCCTACCGGCCCAGCGACCACATTAAGAATCCTTTGGGGAGCTGGGGGAGGAGGGCAGCACCAGCAGCCCTATCACCGCACCCAGCAGCCATACATTTTGCAGTTTCCCATGGGCTGCCAGCACCTGATCAAAGAGGTGTCTGCTCTGAGGCATTCCCTTTGTCTCCCATTGGCGCAGCTTGTGTGGCAAGGAGCATCCACTCCTCGCAGAAGAACCGCGAGGGACCGTCCGCAGAAGCATCCCAGTGCTTTGGTGGAACATCAAAGCATGCTGAGCTTTGCAGATTGCAATCAACATCCTGAAGAGCACAAAAAAAGCCTTGTGGGGAAGCCAGTGCAATTCACAGGGCTCGCACCGATGCACCACGCTCACATGAATGGCTTCACTAAATGGAAAGCTAACGATAGTCTTTGTGAGCTGGGTACCTGGCTGCTAGAAATCGAGGAGACGAGTGGGGAACAACATGGCACTGTATTGGAACACTGCACAGCCCCGTATTCACTAAAAATCTGAATATGTAGCAGAGTCCTCATTGCTTTAGGGAAAATGAGAGCCCTCTGGGATTCTAAAGTATCCCATGACTCTGGATTTATCTGTCAAGAGAAGCATATAATCCATAATAGATGGGAAAGTCAGCCTGCCTTCCTGGGTTCAGCTCGTTCACCCTACCCCACCAGCAGCACTTCCCACTCTGAATGAAGCCTCAGCTGGAGCGGGCTTTGAACTCTTCAAGCTGCAAAGCAGATAGGGAACAGCATTCAGCTCTGTCTGCAACCAGGCTTATTTAAACCTCATCTGAAGTTGTCACCTCCAGGAGCTGTAAATGCTGCTGCTGATTCATAACGAGGCAGAGAAGTACTCTATTAATCAAAGCCAGCAGAACATTTTCTACAGGAGGCATTTATGTGAATGAGAACAGCATATGAGGTTACACTTAGAGAGGAAGAAAATTACAAGGGGATCTCAGTTCTCGTGCTTCAGGGCATAAGCTGATCACCAGATGGGGTCAGGAAGAATTTCCCCCTCCTTCACTCCTAGATGCAGTTTTCCACAATAGGTAAACTATGGAGACACAGGAGAGAAGCTTATTTTAGCCCCAGATTTTGCCCAATTTGGGGGGGAACTGCCATGTCCTCAAACACTGTCAAACAGAAGAGAGTGGTTAGGTGAGAAGAAATACTGGGCTTCATCTGGTAGTTCATACCCAGGAAATGTTAAGTACAAGAGTCCTGACTTCGCATGTCCAACTAAACCTGGCCAAAAAGACTGCTCTGGGAAGGTGGTGGGCATTACATGTAATGAGTGATACCACATATTTAATATATTATAGATGTTCTAGAAGTCTAGTTAAAGCTAGACTTCATGAGCTGGGAGAGCTTTGCCACAGCTCATGGGAACCTTTTTTTTTGTTGTTGTTTCAATTCGCTGAGTGCTTGGGGTTCAAATTAACCCACTTACTTCTCTTCCTCCCTGCAAATTAATAGACCAGTTGAACTTAAAAAAAGAAGAAAAAGAAAGAAGAAGAAAGCCACAACACTTTGTTAAAACCACTAAGTTTCAGCTGGTATCATGTCAAAACCACTTGAAACATGAAACCAGAAGTCTTCCTAGGTTGACTCAAAGACTATGTCTACACCAGGAGTGCTTTACCAGTACAGGAATACCGGTGTGTTACATTGGCGAAGGGCTCCTGGTGTAGACACAACAGAACAGTAAAACTGAGTTTTAAGGATGCCTAGAAAATTGAGTTGAGAGTTTTGCTGACAAACTTTCATCCAAGTTGAGCCGTCCAACAGTTCTAGCAAGTGAACTGGTCAATGGCATCACCTCTTTGCATCCCGGAGAGATGCAAATACATCAGCAGAAGTTTCGAGCGTAGCGATGACCATAATTGGGTAGAGGTTGCTTTGAAACTCCTTTGAAAAATACAACCAGCTCTACATTTAGAAAAACTAACAAAATCGGGGTGGTTTTTTTTTGTAGGTTTTACAGTTTTGTTGCAAACTTCTGGCACAGCTGCAGTTAAACATCTGATTTCAGGCGTACGGTCTGTGACACGTGGCATTTCACCATTTCTCTCAGCACACTGAAATCTGTCCCTCAGCATGCCATCATAAACGTTGCATACAACCCTCATAAGCAATCTTTGGAGATTTCTCCATAACGCAGTCTGTTCATTGTAACACTGGTCAGCACTGGTGCTGGAAGGAAACTGCCACACGAGAAGATTGTGTTATTGTTCTGACAGGAAGACCACTAAATTCTGGGTGCTTCTCTCAACAACAGTGCAAAACATAAAGGCTGAATAAAAATATCTGTTCTAATATGTGCTAATAGGTACTATTACAGAGCCAGAGGTGAAGGCACAGCAACGTGGCAGTTAGGATTTCACCAGATTCCTATTCAATTTACCCAGATTGACTATTTTGAACCTATGACAAAGACATTTTAAGAAAAGAAAGACATTTTCAGCTTCAAATGCTACAGAAAAAAACACTTCCCACCTAGCTTAGCCTGGAACACCTCTCTCCCTCTGTAATAGCCTCTACGTCTACAGCTGAGATACACACATCCATAAGCAATTACTACCATTGCCTGTGCAAGTCAAACCTATGGTTCTGTCTCTTACCTGTAATCTGACTCTGTCCTTGTGGATTAAAAGGACTTGGTGCAGAGTTCAGAGAGGGCCGTGGGCTCTGGGTCGGGACCCCTACTCTCATACTGGGATGAGGAATGCGCCCTAAATCACTGAGGCGTTCAGGGAACAAACTAGGTTTAGAGTCATCAAGCTTCTGTCTGTGCCCTGGAAACAGCAAATCATAAAATAAAAGCGTTAATAACAAGATTTAGTACTTTAACATACAAAAAAAAAAAAAAAAAGAAAAAAAAAAGAAAAATAAAAGAGGTCTCTAAGGACCTGTTAGCAGATTAATGGACTATGTAGGTACCACCGCTACTCCCAGTAACACAGTGACATTGGTGGGGAATTGGTGTTTTGGTGTTTTGAATGTGGTTGTGCTGGCAGAAGCCTTGACTAGCACTGCTGTGCCCGTGTTGATATGTAATGCAGTAATTTGGATCAAAACAAGCCCTTATGGACACCACACAAGGTCTTTATGGTTTGTTTTTGTTTTTTTTCTGCTTTAACTCCACTGGAATGTTAAAGGGGCAAAACTTTTCTTCCAAAAGTAAACCTTATATGTACAAGTCATCGAGAGGGACAGTTATTCCATGACTGGACTATATGTTGTGGATTTTTGCTAAGAAAACTCCTCCATAACCTGAGAGCGTCTCCAAAAAGTAAATAGTCACTCTCATTTGAGAAGCTTCTGGCCAAGACTGGGTCCTACACTGCTCTTATATATTCAGCCTTCCTCCATGCTTGTACTTCTCCCCAAAAGCAGGCTCACTGCCCTTATGCCACAGGGCTGCCTTGGGAAAAGCCTCCCATGGATGCTTGGTTTTTGAAATGCAGAGGGGAAAAATGCCCAGAGCAAAAGGATGCACCAAGTGGCACCTTGGTATTCTTCATATTGTCCTTCGGGTGTTTCAAGAGGAAAGGTTTTACTTCTCTAACTGCATTATGTTTTATTATTACGTAATGTTGTATTTTTGCTCCCAAGTTTCATTTCTTTTTGAAGTAGTAACAGATGCTCTTCAACCAATGGTGCCTTTGAAGGAGGCAGAGAAGGCATTACTTCTATCATTCAACATATGGAAAAACAGGCATGCAGCGAGATTAAGGTCAGTACTAATTTTACTTAACTTCAGCCATTTATAAATCAGGCATCTAGTCTAAACTCTTCTAATGTAGACTTCCTCTACAGTTAATGGAAAGAAATAGCTACTTCCAGAGGGCAATTCATCTCATTTGTCTCTGACACTAGTCTTAAAATGGGATGATTCACCTTCTGAATTTGCTTTCTCTTCCTTCTCTGATCAGAGAAGGAGCCCACATGACTAGTTTAATTAGGCACTCTCACCATTAGTCAACATCGCATGGAATTAATCTCACCCAAAGTTAGTAACTAAGGTCACATGAAAAGCATCTGGCAGAGCTGAAATGGGAGTCCAGATCCCCTCACTGCAATCCAGACACGCGGTTGCCTCCATCCCTTTAAACAGTGCCAGGGTATTGGCACAGGCAATACATGGGTTGGATATTTTTATGCTTTTAACACTAGGAAGGGTCTCTGGCGTAGTTTGGGCTGGGAGCAGCTCAGACTCCTCCAGATGATGCCCAGAGGTTTGAGATACACTGCATTCTCCCTCAGCAGTGAAAACACAGCCCTCTGCTTGGAGGCCACGAGAGTTCAGCTTTGCAGACACAGTCAGATTGCCCACATCAGTCTTAGGGCCAGAGAACCAATTCTGGCACTGTTTTATTTGTTTTAACAGTATAAATGAGGCCTCTGAGTCTTGAAATGTATCAGTTCATCTCTCTTCATGAAAGGTAATTTAATGCTGTCATCGTAGCACTGAAATACGTGGGTTCACATCATCCAGCTGGGACTACAGTGTCCAAATGTGGCTTTCTCTATAATGGACAGCTAACTCTAAACTACATTTAGAGAAATCGGGGTTCTCCATAGACTGTGGAAGATCTCAGATCACAGACTTGGAGACGTCCAACAGCTGCCTGGATGTGGGCATGGGCACAACGCTCCGGGTGGCCCTGCTTGAGCAGACGTTGGAATTGCCTGACCTAGAAGGCCATCAACCGTTCTGAGATTCTGCCATTCTGTCAAAACTGAAGGATTGAGGTTGGAAGATGAGAAAAAATAGCTAGATGGAAATTAATTTTAGAGAAACTTCTCTAGCAATTAAAAAAAATTAATTAGTTGACCCATTATTCTGTGCTTTGAAGTATGATTTTTCTCCCCCGTGATGACTCAGTATAAAAACACGAGGTAGGCGTGAGCTTTCCCATTAAAGAGGAGGAGTTGCTGTATGGCAGAGCTCTGCAGAACAATCAGCTGGCATCGGTGACTCCTCTCTATGAGGTATCAATCACTTCAAACGGGGAACGATTTTTGGTGGGCTTGTAACAGCTCTGTAATGGCAGCCTCATTAATTGGATAACATCTCACCTGGTAGTCATTTGCACTATCTCTCCCATCTATGTAAATTAGAACTTGTATAAGCTGGGTGCTAATCTGAAGAAATAACTTTCACACAGATACATACGCACGCAGTCAGTGCTCTCTTGGGATCTCTCCTTCTCTTATATTTTTTTCCACATTTTTTCTGGCTTTGCTGTTGCCTTTGTCAGTCACGTTGACCAGTCTGGTTTTCTCAAGGAACCCATTGCCCCTCTCCTCTTCTATTCGTCCCTCGTCAAGTTCCAGCACGACCAAGAAGGCCCAAAATAAGATACCCCAGGAGCCTATCTCTGAGCTTGCACACCGGGGCTGACTTTACCTGGGAATGAATCTATTCCCAAAGTGAAATTTATTTTGATGGAAAAATTCTACTCTGTGTTTACATTTTGGCTCAAGGATTACACTGAGCTTTTCTAATGAACCAGTGAACAGACTATTTTGATTGCCTTCTGCTCACTCAATGAACGCTCAATACGTAGGGCATCTCTCCTGTACCAACTTGTGCCCAACAACCCCTGCTTTGTTTCTGTCATGCTCTGGTTGCCCATACCTTTTCTGGAACAGAGATTGTATTTAACTCTGCATTATTATAATGAACTATCAGAAGAAGACAAAATTAAGCAGGATAGCAGGGTACTTTCATGTAGATAGGGAAAAAAGAAGGAAGAATAAGAAGGATTTCCGTGTATGGTTGATCTGAAATAATTAAGAAGTATGTGGATATGAGTGTTGTCACCTAGAAAAGGTAGGGAAAGGAGGGAAAAGAGATCTCTGCGCATCTGGAAGAATCCCAGGCATCAATGCAAGTGCAGAAATCAGCAAGGGGCCAAAGGCAGACTTGCCTTTCCCTCCTGGTCATTTAAAATTTAGGGCTGTAACACAGGGTCCCCTTATGACAAAGAGATCCATAGGAGCCATGCTCCTGCAGCACAGCGTCCCAGTGAGGTGAGACTGCGTTGCAGCTCTGCACATTATGGGCTCCTGTTCTTTAACAAAGCTAAGACACCCACATGGAAAGCAAACAGGAGACTCAACAAAAAGCTTCATACTGAGGAGGTGTCTGCAAAGAAGCGGCAACTGAAATAGCTTTCTTGCCCCGATTCTTGTGCAAGAAAAAATATAAAACAATCCTATTAAGTACAGAGCAGCTGTGAGGCACGGGCTGAGACTCTAAAAAGGCCTTCTGAGTAGCACATCAGCAGCAGCAGTGAAATATGCGATACATGTTTAAAACTCATTCCACAGACTGCTTTTCATCTCCCATTGATGTATGTGTCCGTTGACAGAGAAATTCCTGATCCCAGGGGAGCGTGCTAAGAAAAGCTGTATTCCTTGGTCACAGTCATGAGGCATCATTTTATTTCAGGAAAAAAGATTAGGGCAGTGTATGATTAGCTCAGCCAGAATCTGTGATCCGCCGTGGCAGCAATTACATTAAAAAGCAACATGAGGCTACGGAGAGGGTAGGAGAAAATCACGCCGTGGCTTCCTCAGTGCCTGCACCCAGCGCCTGGGACGGTCCTGCCAGCAGTGCTACACTGAGGCCTGGTAGCTCTGTCACAAAGAAGATTGCATGGAATGTGTTGGCCTTACCAAGGGGACAAGCTGCAGGCAGCCTCACCTCGCCAGGCCACGCAGCCCCGGCGTGCTGACAGCACCTAGGAGCTGCCATTCGGTCCCCACATCCCAGCTGTGGCGGGAGATGTAAGGAGCCTTCATCTCCAGCTTAATCAATTCAGTTTCAAGGCGAGGAAGGAACGTCTCCCTGATCAAAGACACACGACCTCGAGGCGGATGGGTGCGGGAGCTGGAAGGGGATGGAGCGCATCCCTCATCACTCAGCCCCCGCCGCACGGCTGCAGAAGTCAAGATGTAAGTGGGGCTGTGGGAGAGGCTGACTTGCAGAAAGAAATGTGGCGTTGATGCTTGAAGATTCTTACCTCCTCTGGGAGGAGGGCTGTGCCTTTTTATCTTTCAGTTGTGGGTGTGGAACTGAAAACTAATTAGATTGTGCTACACGTGGCCCAGCCAGATGCTGACACTCAGGGACTCCCTTTCTTTGTACCACGTACACCGCCCACCTTTTTGTTTTTCTGTTGTGTTTTTCTTTTTTTCCTTTCTGCTGGTATCAAGGAGATCTGGTTACCAGATTGTCAGCAGATGTTTTTATCGCTCGCAAGTGGGTTAGCTATTTTCAGTCATCACCCATTTCTTTCTGCCTTTTTCACTTCTGTCATTGCATCAACAAGAGGCTTCATGGGAGTCAGGTGTCTCCATGAAAAAGCCAAGGGAATGCAGAAAGGCTGTGAAAGCATGAAGCCGGGCTGTCCCTGCTGAGCTTTGTGTGCTGGGATAATTCCAGCAGAGCACAGGGCAGTGGTCAGATGTGAAGTACCAACAGTAGTGGTGTTTGCCCCATGTTGTGAGTGTGCTCAGCAGCAGGAGGAGCCAGGGCAAGTTTCACAGAATCAAAGAATGCCTTGGGTTGGAAGGGACCTCAAGCATTATCAAGCTCCAACCCCCAACCACAGGCAGGGCCACCAATCTCCCCATTTCACAGCAGCCCAGGCTGCCCAGGGCCCCATCCAACCTGGCCTTGAACACCTCCAGGGATGGACGGGGCATCACAGCCTCTCTGGGCAGCTGTTCCAGCACCTCACCACTCTCACAGCACACAACTTCCCCTGACATCCAACCTCCA